AAAAATACAACGAAATTGAAAAAATTTATAAAAATAAACAACAAAATATAAAAACAATTCAAAAATATATTACACAAAAAAAAAAAAAAAAATTAAAAACAATATTTTAAAACAAATATAAAAAAAGGGGGGGGGCGCCTTGGCTGGACGCCCAGCCAGCGGTGGTGGCGCCAGCTGCAGACGCCGCCACCAGTGGGCTGGCGCCTGGGCTGGACGCCACAGCCACGACTGCGGCGCCTTGAATAAACGCCACAACCGTGGCTATGGCGTCCAGCCCAGGCGCCAGCCAACTGGTGGCGGCGTCTGCAGCTGGCGCCACCACCGCTTGCTGGGCGTCCAGCCAGGGCGCCCCACCGCCGTCACGGCGGTTTTTCCCTTTATTTATTTATTTTTTTTAACAAATTGTACCTTGCCACCTTGGGACATCCTTCCCTCCGCCGCCGCCGCCAATTCCTTGCCTTGCCGCCTCGACATTGCCGTTGTTTGAAATTTTTTTTTTTTTAAGAGAGGTTGAAAGAAGATGAGCAATGAGAGTGTGAGTGATGAGAGTGTGAGTGTTTTTTTTTTAAAGGTCAAGGGCAATTTTGTCAAACTAAGTGAATTTTGTGGGCTTTATGTAGTAATTTGTGGGCGATGTTTAACAAATCCCTAAATCTAATCTTAGTTCATCATAGAGATAATAGTTATTGTTATATAACATGGTAGATTAGGAATCACAAATGCAAAATTAATAGAAATCAACAATTTTATAATAGTCACATTTTTATAAACAAATAAGAAAAATCAAATTTACTTCAAAATTCACGATCGGGACGGCAAATATGATGACGGTGGAGATGCTACAATGGTGACGTATTGGAGAATATCCGAAAAAGAAGGACAAAGAAAAGGCTATCAAAATTATTCCATCAAAAGATTATCCATAAGTACAAAGATATTTCACGAGGATAGTGGTTCAACCATATTTGTTCAATCAACACCAGAAAGAATAAGCCTAGCTAAATGGTGGGCGACGAAATTGCCCACCCTCTTGGTATGAGACCAAGACACTGATTTAAAGGATGCACATTGAAAGGATATCATCAAGCAATAGATCCAGCTTAGACAGGAAGATTTCCCCCTTTACCAAACGATTAATGACCGTTTGGCAATCAGACTCTAGAATTACCATAGCCTTGTTGTCTTCCTAACCGAATTGCTATAGCTAAAGCTTTACCCTCTGCAAATTTAAAGGGATTTTAATGGATATGGATTTTAATGGACAAAGCCTTTATTGGGTAAGATCAATATAAGGCCAAAGTATTTTTTTTTTTTCAATTTAATTGATAAAGAAATAGATAATGTAAAAATAATTACATAAATAAATTTGTATTCATACTTAATAATGGCTTTGTCCAATATTTATATTAATTGATATTTTGTAGGCCTGCCCATTATTGACCCGCGACCCGCATTGACCAGACCTGATATTAACCTTATAAAATGTATAATTCAATTTTTACATGCACCCCATGGCAGGGAACACTGCCTGCACCCCCTCCCCCCACCCCACCATCCCGCGCATGTCCTGCCCTCACACTTTTTCATTTATGAATTTCTTGTAAAGTGTTTACAACATGTTCATTTTTGTATTGGTAAATGTTCATTTATGTATCATTAATTGTTCACTTTATCATAAGGAGTTTTGTTCAAATTAATATATTTTCTGAATTGAATTTTAAGAATTTTCTATAAATAAAAATGATAGAGCAAATTTATTTATAAGGATTATTGCGTTCATAATATTTTTATTATAAAAAGTATTGAATCATCCAATGTTCATTTTTGTTTATTCGTGTTTCAATTGATGTTTATTTTTGTATCATCACATGTTCATTTCAAAATCTATGTGTAAGTTTCATAGTAAGATGTATGCAAATACATACGTCTTAGAATTCTATTTATTCAAATAAAACATTGTTAAAAAATAATTCCCAATATAAAATAAATTTAATTTAATTACAATAATAATGCAATTCTATACAGATATACTATTGCATGTAATTGTTTCATATACATGAAAGTGAATCAAATGTACATTGTTAAATAAACTTCTTTGCTATTTTGTGTGTTTTTCATAAAAAATATAATCTGAGCACAATATATATGTCGTCTAGCTTCAACTTCCTTACTTGATTATCCTGTACAATAAGAGATCAATCAAGTTTTCCAAAAAAAAAATAATAACAACAACACATTTCAAACAAAACTACGTGAAATCTAAGGATTCAAAATTGAACATTTATACATGAATAAAAATTACGAATTCAGAAATGAACACACAATAAAAATATAAAATCTTTCAATATGAGAATGAAAACGTATAAAATCAAAATGAACATATATTAAATTCTAAATGAACATTTATTAATATGAAAAAAAAAACATATATCAAAATCCAAATGAATATCTATTAATATGTAGATGACCATTAATAATAATTCAATACGTCAAAATACAACTTAATGTATATTGATATTATATGTGGATGAAATACCATAAGATTTATATTATATTTTAAAATAGAATAATCAAAGGTATATTCACACATATATTAATGTATTGTTCATTCATCATAAACCTTTGATTATTCTATTTTAAAATATAATATAATCTTATGGTATTTCATCCACATATAATATCAATATATGTGTGAATATACACATATTTAAATGAACATCTATGTATCAAATTCGAATAAACATCTATCAATATTAGAAATAAAATTTATGTAGTATAATATTCAAATGACGCTCATAAGCATATATTAATTTAATACAAAACTAGGGGAATCTTCTCTCAAGTGATTGATGATTTTACAAAATATAAACGATCAATATCCTTAATTATAATGATTCGCACTTAAATGGAAAAAGGATCACATTAATCACATGCCCTTTCTTTCAATTATCTCTCATTAAACATATTTTAAAAGTTTTGCTTAGGAGTCCGTGTTACACTGTTACCCCTCTTTGTTGCAAATAATAGTTACGGAGGTAGTATTTGCACATGCACATTTATACATGTTCATAAGGTTACCATATGAACAATTAGCAACTACCATTAATCCATATGAGCCTGAACATATATTAAAATTCCAAATTGAAATGAATAGTTACCAATATGTGTGATGATTGACCATGTACCCATATGAGAATGAACATGTATCAAAATTAAATGAACATTTTAGGTTATTAAAATGAACCAAGTATATATTTGTTAGTATGTAATACACAAGTATATATCAATATCTAGATGAATATGCACACAACATTATCTAAATGATCATATTTTAATATGAAAATGAACAATTATTAGAACTCAAATATGCATCTTTTATATTAGTATGTATTTACCGTCAAATAAAAATACAATTGAACATCATATTATCTTGAAATAATTAAACATCATATTATAATGCACATTTGATTTCATATATATAAATGAACATCTATTAAAATGAGAATGAACATTTATCAAAACGAGAATGAACATCTATCGTTTTATTAAAAAGGAAAATTCTTAGCAATTATACAAAATAGATTAATTGATCCAGAAAATTACAGCAAATGTTATTATTGTTTTCAAATTTTTTTGTCCAACAATGATAATCTAATAAATTCAACACAAAACTAAAAAAATCCTAAGTCTATCCCCAAAAAATAGTGAAATCACAAACTTATACCTATTTTTTTTAGATCTATTGGAAGATACTAGAGTATATTAAACGTTTCCATGGTTTATGATTCAACCAATATTTTAATATTTCCTTCTCTATGATTTGATAATTAAATCGGGGAAAAAATTAGGGTAAATATATGAAATTAACAATTATACAAAATTATTGAAATGGAAAAGGAGAGAGAAAATAGTGTCTTGTCAATCACTTTGCGTCGATGATGAAGCTCCGGCAAGGGGTGACTTGAATAGATGATGATGAAACTCTTATGAGGGAAAACATGGAGAATTTTGGAGAGAGAAAATGAAGGTTGAAAGTTTTTGAAGAGAGAAAATGATAATGATAAAAAATTTTGGAGAGAGAAATGATATGATGAAGCTTTTTAGAAGATAACAATGGTGATGATGAATATATATATATATATTACCAAATATTACGTAATACTTTAATTGGGAGGTGAGTAAGGAGGGGGGAAGGGGATGTAGGTTTCCCTACCTACAATCATGGGCGGAGCCACGGGGGGGGGGGGGGGGGGGGCTGGTGGAGGCTCGACCCCCCGTGGTCCGACTGGTGAAATATGTACTATATAGTATGACCCCTCTAATTAATAAATAGCTAATATTTGTCCTACATATCATGATGTTAGCGATAGCACAGTTGGTCTGTTAGAGTTTTTCATGGTAACTTGCTGAGAAATAGGTCTCAGATTCGATTCCACACTTGCCTACAATGGGGTGTAGGCATTAACTATTTTTGGACCGGTGTGGGCTTACTATGTGCCTGAGCTGGGCTAGGTGGCATACCGGCCCAACCCAAAGCCATTTTCACTTCTCTTTACGGAGTATAATTTCAACACAAACTTGCACGGGAGCTTACTTATGCCCTGTTCTTTTCACCTTACAAAAATAATATTAAGTAAAAATAATTTCAGTTCAGTAAAAATAAGTCCAGTTCAGTAAAATTAATTTCAGTTCAGTAAAAATAATTTCAGTTCAGTAAAAATAAGTTTAGTTCAGTAAAATTCAGTTTTCTTAAAGAAGAATTACAATAGAAAATCAGTAAAAATAATTTCAGTTCAGTAAAAATAATTTAAGTTCAGTAAAAATAATTTCAGTTCAGTAAAATTAAAGTTCAGTTCAGTAAAAATAAGTTCAGTTCAATAAAATAATTCCAATTCAGCAAAATTAAGGTGAAACAAATAGGGCCTTAATTTATGATTAAGACATTAACCCCCTCTCAAGCGCTAAAAAGTAGATTAGGATTAGGAATCTGAAGAAGAATTAGAATAATTAATCCGACAAACATTACCAGAGCTACTCCTACTCTAGTGCTCTGCTCTCTAAGTAAATGTTCACATTTCACTTCACTTGACACCAAAAAGCACATGCATTAAAGCGCCTTTACTCTCCACTTTCACACTCCTTAATCTCACTCTCTCTCTTTACAAATTCAATTTCTCAGAAAAATAGGAAAAAAAAAAAAATCCAAAATGAGAGAAGGAAGAGGTTCGAGCTTGGTGTATCTACTGGTGGTTGTTCTCTGTTTAGTTGCCTTTACTTTCGCCATCGCCGCCGAACGCCGCCGTAGCCGTGTACTTTCTCTCTCCTCTTTTCTTTCCTTTTTATTTTCTATTTTTTTTTTTAAAATTCAATTCATTACTATTTTGTGCTTGTTTATTTGTATTAATTGAAGCATTGTTTGTGCAATTATTACACTTATTGATTATTTGAATTTGTAATATTCAGTATTTTGATTGCGGTTAATTGCTTAATTGTTTTCAGTTTTGATTGAATTTCAGGGTTTAAGGTGAATTATTAATGGATCAGTATCAAATGTTTGTTTTTACTGTAGTAATTTTCTGATTTTAGGTGATTTAATTGTTAATAAGGGAAATTAATGTAGTGTTGATTAGGTTGAAGATAGAGGGTAAAATTATGTAGGGTGAGAAATTTGGGATAATTATAGGCAATTTACTGAGTAAGTACAATGGATTAGTAAATGAACCATTTGCACGAATCGAGGGTGAAAACTGTGAAGAAATTCAACCCTCCTTGGCCTGTCGGGCTGTCAGTTACTTGGAAAAAATTCAGATTAAAATACGTTTATAAGTTTAAGTCATTTGCAACCACTGATGAAGTATAAAGTTAAGGATTAGTACTTTTTTTTAGAAATCGAACACATTAGTCGATGATTAGGCTTGGGAGAAGGTAGTGTCCGGGGTGTAGCAAGTTGTGACTTGATAAGCTGCTCTACCGGATTATCAGTTTCATCTTTTGCAAACATGGCTCATTTGGTTCATCGGTGATGTTGTGATGAATATTAATATAAGCTTCTAAGGTACTGTAATGCATCTTTATTTGCAAACATGTGGTTTTCTCTTTAGGTGGTAGATGGTAACGATAACAAGTGTGATTTGAGTTTGTGAAGAGTGTGTTTGGAAATGGATGTACGCGTTTTGGGTATCCATGTGGGACATCTTTATCAAGTTGCACACAAACTTTCATTATTATTCCCTAACTTTTATCATATTCTAATTAGGTTCTTTTGGTGTGCCATTAATGATTTCATCCCTCTTCCAGTACATAGCTTGAGGATTCGATACCAAACCCGTGTCCTAAAGAAAATCTCTTTAATATTCCTCTTATTGAAGTAAAGAGCTTTGCCAGCTAGCCAATTCCGTTATAGAAAATGGTTGTTGAGATATAACTTAGTCAATTTGAGTATTGTAACCAAGACATTGAAATTTGAGAATTGCTGCTTTTTATTTTGTTTCCAAGACCCCCTAAAAAGCACTAATCTCTACCATTGCCTTAACGTTGGTGGATTGATTACAGGTTTGAATTTTTCCCACTAAACAAAGAAATTGAGTGTGCACTGTACTCTCTGCATTTCCAAATGATTGCCTATGATCAAATTGTTCACTATCTCATCAGAAGACATCATAATTACATTAGCAACCAAAATTAATGGCAAAATTTAAGTAGGATTTATGCTGACATGTTATAGTGGATTGAGAACTTAGTGACAAATTATATGGAATAACAGAAGTTAGTAAAGTTGGCGCTAATTTTAGGCTGGAGTGAGTGCCACAAAGGACGTTTGCAACAATAGTATGTCTTTAATGATTTATACTCATGAACCATTAATTAATGTAAATCACTTTGCCATCAATGAATCTTTTGTGCAATTTTTATGAACAGCACTAATTATTCTAGTACAGATCGTTGTTGATTTTTCTGATACAAAATTCTCCAAAGTTATGCTTCACGTGTTTTTCTTATATTGTTATTGAAACTAGTGTGAGGTTTTGATAAAATTTACTAGGCAAAATGATTTTCATTTCTTGTTTTACCTGATGAACTTTTGTCTCTAAAATCTGAATAAAGTATGTTAAGGCCATAATGTAGGATGTTTTGATAAATAAAAGTTCCTTTGTACAAAAAGTGAATTTGATAAAGCTTATGAGCATTAAATAAATGACAGCTGACGTAATTTTTTTTATTGCACTTTCCTTTCTGAGTATTATCAATAACTTCAGTGTCAAATGGAGTTTCTGGATATTTTAGCTTTTAAACAATGCTAACATGTAGGACCTGGGAAGGAGAGTTAAGAGAAGGGACATACGGGTATATCTGAGGATAGGTAGAGACAAAAACGATGCATATAACTTTTTAGTTTATTCTAATTGGTAAATTTGGCGCTGTGATTATCTGGATAAGATTAAAATTTGCTTAAATAATCGAGGAGTAACTTTATCAATTTATGAGCCTGTAGACATCTATGAAATTGGTAGCCTGTTCGAGATATCCCCCATTTCCCTTATATCCATTATACATGCTTCTGGCATCTGATCCCTATTTTGTTGAGGTCTCTTCTATATTATGCCAAACCTTGATTGTGGAAACCGCTGCTTAAGTGTTTATTTCCAGAAGGCTGACTGCAAAATAAGTGTATCACTGTTGCACTCGTTGACGCTTAAGTGTTTATTTCCAGAAGGCTTACTGCAAAATAAGTTAATCACTGTTGCACTCCACTTGCTTGACTTGGTTATGATGTAAATATTAGGAAAAATATTATGTTACTTTATGTTCTTTATGATATTGACTTAATGTAACGAGGCTTGAATGTTGAAGCAATATCATGGTTTCCTTTCTCTATCTAGATTATAAGAGGTGGTCTCTCTTAACTGCCACGTTGGTTCGTTTTAGGTTTTACATTATTTTTTTCCTTTTTTTTTTTTTTTGGGGGGGGGGGCTCCTATACCTGAAAAACAGGAGTAGTGACTGCAAATATAGATGGCTTAGCTGTTGAAAGATGCTATATGATCTAGACTGCTTATATTATCTTGTCTATACTATTTTCTTGCCGTGGATTTGTGGAATGAGTCAAGTTTATAGTTTCATTTAAGAGTACATTATTAAAAGCACTAGTGAGGCTTTTAACTTTCAACATTTGTGAATGAGTATTGTCTAATAACCTTGTTCCAATGCTTTTAATGAACTTTAGTTAACTGTGAAATTTTCAATGTTGAACTTTTCCCGTTAAATCTTCTTAAAATAATTATAAAACCTTCGTTGCTCCTTTTTTTTTCTTAACGTTTCATAAAGTTAGTAACACTATTATTTCATTCAATTTTTGGCAAGTCCCTTTTACTACCTCTCCCTCTCACCCTACTATATTTACACATTTTCATTCCCTTTCTCTTACTTATCTACCTATAGCATTTTACAGTCTCTCCTATCTTTTACACCTTTTTCTTACACCTACTCACCACTTTATCATATTGTCTCTCCAGTTGCCTTATGTGCACATAGTAAATGTTAAGAACTTTTGGGAAAGGACACAGTAGTTAAATAGATGAGAGAACATGAATATGAGGCTATGGCCAACTACTGAAGTGGAGTTAGGCAGTGAGCGTTTCCTGTCAACTATTGATTCTCAAAACATATGTTGGACTTAATAGATTTTCTCTTGCTCACAAACAAGGCTTTCTAAATTAGGATTTTCTTGTTAAACCTTATTATCTGTATGCTTGTTATTGATGCACATTCTAGATATGTGACTATCATTTTTGTATATACATTTATTTGGCTTGTTTGTATAAATATCATGGGGTAGTGTGATCTTTCAAATTATGAGAGAATACATGAGTTTTTCTAGTAGAAAAGCACTTAAACTTTGCTAATGTACGCTTAAGCTTTGAACATTTTATGATGGAGGTTTAAAACTCTTGAAAGCATTGCTAAACTTATGAGTAGTGTGGATATAAGCGTATAACTACATAATAATTTAGGTCTAAGAAAACTTCACATTACATGCTTTTGCTTGCTCCACCTGGACTTTAATTCCTTTTACTTCTACTTATTCTGTCCTTGACATGTAGTTCCTTTGCATTGACTTTGATTTTCCTTCAAACCTTGTCCTGATATTTTCGTTAGGAAAAATTGCCCGCAATAATCCGACCTTTTAGCCATCCGCTGTATGGATTATTTTTAAATAATCTCACTTTTATACCCACTCCGCTATAAATGGTCCCAGCCGGTCATGTAACCTGTTATAACAAGTTACTTGACACGTGTCGCCATGTTATTTGTCAAAAAAATAAAATTAAAATAAATTAAATTTTAAAAAAAGTTAAATGTTTTTTTAAGAAAAACTGAAAAAAAAAAAAAAAAAAAATTAAAAACCACCACCAGCCCAAGCCTTCCCCGCCATCCCTAACACCTCATCCCGTAGCACCGGTCACCCAGATCCCCGGCGCCGGCGGTGCCTTGAACCCCCTCCCTGAACACCCCGCCTCCCTCCATCACATAACCACCGTCTCCTTCCCTCACGACAGCAGTCACAGCATCAACCTCCGTCGCGAAATCACCAGCCCCCAACTCCAGCGTCAGCGCCGTCGGCCACCAACAACTCGATCTGTCCACCCTCTCCCTCCCCCTAAACCGCCGACTCGTGGTCCCCTCACCCTGAAACCACCAACCACCCTCGAAAACCTGTTCCCCCGTCCCGATCCCAGTCCCTCTCCCCATCCCCGTCCAAATTCCGGTCGTTCCTCCCTTTGTCCATCCCGATTCCAGCCTCTCTCCCCTAGTCTCCTTCACGCGATTCCGGCCTCTCTCTCTCTCCTACCTCCGTCGCGATTCCGGCCTCTCTATCCTTCCTCCGTCGCGGTGGTTTCATATGTGGGTGCGGTTCTAGGGTTTAGGTTGGGTGGTGGTGGGTATGGTGGTGGCTGAATTGTTGTTGCTTAGGGGGTGGTGGTGATTTTTTTCTTTTTTTTTTATTTATTTTTTAGACTAATCAATAAGTGACACGTGTAAATTCTACTTAAAAAAAAATATTTACCTGCTCAACCGGTTCCAAGTAAAATGGGATCATTTATAGCGGGGTGGGTATAAAGGTGGGATTATTTAAAAATAATCCATAGGTGGGATTATTTTCGGCGGACGGCCAAAAGGTCGGATTATTGCGGGCAATTTTTCCTTTTCATTATGGTACTCCCTTCTTCCTTTTAAGATTTCACCATTGGGGTGTTGTTACTTTTTAAGGTTTTGTTGGGTGGCATTTATGAGAATGATAATTGGTGGGACCAGAAGTACTGTATGTGAGAGTGAATTTGTTGTCGGCTATATATAATATCGGGTGAACTTACAGGAACAAACCAAATAGGAACCTTATATGCTCAAGCTTTCTATAAGCTCCCACCAGGTGACTTGGTTGCTTCATGACAATTTTGTGTACTGCTTCATTTGGAGAAATGGATATTGAACCATTTTTCTGTGTGTTTCTCATGTTGAGAGAATTAAGGTGCAAGCGGAGAGGTTGTTGTTAGTTCTCCATCCTTTTAATTGACATTTTCACTTGCAAGATGTTAGAAATTAGCATTGATTATGAGTAGCCTAACCTTGCTTCTGGAAAACCCAAACATCAGTCAATTTTTGAAAAAATTGAAATCAAAGAACTCGAAGGCATGGAAATTGTATTGCAGTGCCTGGAGAGACGAAATCTCTTTATCTGGAGTAGCTTTTCTTCCTATCCCTTTGCCTGCAAGTTGGTACAGAATGAACCAGAATTCTTATTGAATTAATCATTAATGCTTTCTTAAGCCTGTGGACTGCCTAAAGCCAAATGAACAAAGTGTCCAAAAATGCATAGAATCGAGTAGCTTAGGTACTTCAGAAGGTTTGAGAAGCACTTAACATTATATTTTACCTGCCTGTGAAATTAAGATTTTCAGGCTTAAACTGAGTGTCCTACTTGAGCATAATGATAATGATATTTGTTTGTGAGTGCAAAAAGGGACTTGAAATCACTTGATTGACGGTAGTTTAAGGAATCTTCTCTATACTAATATGTTTTTCTGTGACAGGGTAATATAATTAAGGATGAAGTAACCAATACAACATACTGTGCTTACAGTTCTGATGTTGCTACTGGATATGGAGTTGGGGGATTCTTGTTTCTTCTTTCAAGTGAATCAGTGCTTATGGGTATGACAAGGTGCATGTGCTTTGGTAGACCCTTGGCACCTGGTAATGAACGAGCATGGACTATCATTTACTTTTTCTCGTCATTGTAAGAATCTCTCTATTCTTGAGAATATTGGTCTTGTCAACAAGAAACAGTAATACAAGCCATCATTATTTATGCGCATTATACGAATGGTAAATTATTGTCCATTGCGACAAATTTCTGCTAAATATTGGAAACTAGGGAACATATTCTGCTCTTCATCAAAAACAACCCCCTATCTGCTCACCATTGGAATTTAACTGGACCCTCTTGTCATTCACATCAGCTGATTTTTTCCGTAGAAACCTACCTTAAGATCCTTGTCAATGTAGCTTGCTATTCTGGAAAACCAGACTGAACTTGTTACAAATACAAATAACTGCTTTTTACTTGTTTTAGAACCTCGGTTCTGAAACTCTTAAACTAATTCTTGCCTGACTTTTTGTTTTGTAAAATTATTTTTTTTATATATATCAAATTTTCAAACTATTGTACTGCATATCTGTTTTTTACAAGAAAGTACATTTTGTAAATTTGTACTATTTGCAAAGAAAAATTCTGGCCCGATTTATTACTGTAAAGATGGCAGCTGATATTTTATTTGTGTCTATGTGCAGGCTAACATTTCTGGTTGCGGAGGCATGTCTACTCGCCGGTGCAACTAAGAATGCTTACCATACCAAGTACCGTCATGTACTCTATGCACAGAACTTCTCATGTGAGACTCTGCGCAAAGGTGTTTTTATTGCTGGAGCTGTATTTGTGATTTTCAACATGGTCTTAAATGTGTACTACTACTTATACTTTTCCAAAGCTACAAGCTCACAGACAGCATCTCACAAGACAAATCGCTCCAGCTCTACTGTCGGAATGACCGGTTACAAGTAGTTATGCTATAGATTTGAATCGACTAAAAGTCACTTTGAAGAGTTGTGCATTTCCTCCATTCTTGAAGTGAAAATTATATAGATCATTTCAGTGGACGATGGCATGTCTATAATATGGGGTAAGATACAAATCAGTTTTAGAACTTAGATAACAAAACTAGTAAGTTCGAGCTTTTTGGCTGCTCATGTTTCTCGTGTTTTTCATGTTTTTTTTGTTTTTGTGAAAAAAGAAGTAAAGCAAAGCAGGGCGAATGGTTCGATCATTTTCTGTATTTTCTTTTTGCCGAGGCTGTAGTGGTCTTCTCTTTATGCTATTATGTTATCAATTAACCTATACTAAAAGCGAATCTAAGATGACGTTTGTGACGATGTCATTAATAATTTTCCGTCCTTTTTGCACTTTCCTTTTTTTTTTTTTTTTTTTTACCAAATTTAAATGACTTTCATTTTATAAGCTACAATAATACTTATTTCTATTTTGACATCATATCTAATCTAATCATACCAATTAATATTTTTTTTTAACATATATTCTATTTACTTTAATATTTTAGTTACAAGTATACAAACATAGATTAAAAATAAGGTATTAAATATATCATTGTCCAATATTATTATAATATTAAGGAGTATCAATTTTTTCCTCCAAGCTCCAACATTAATCATTTGACATTAATCGTTATGCAATGTGATTATTAAAATTAAAATAAAAACCGCTACTACTCACTATAAATACATTTTAAAAAAGTTGATTATGGAATACTAATTATCCTAAAGTAATATAAATCAACTAAATTTTCATTTAATGCCGGTCAAAGTGTGTCAACAAAAATATAAGGACAAATGTATATGAGTTCGTATACGGGTACTAACCTTTTATTTTATTTTTTTCCCTTTTTTTTTTTGAAGACATATACGAGTACTAACCTAAGCTTATATTTTCGTTTTATCAAAAAAAAAAAAAAAAAAAACTTATATTTTCGTTTTCTTATACTTCCTCCGTTTTTTTTTATTGCATCATAGGGGTTTTGGAGGCAAAATTTGGTAGTGGGAAAAAGTAAGAGAGAGAAACGTAAAAATACAAAATTGTCCATGTAATGTAAGATAAAATAAAAAGTAAGTGTGAAAAAGTAAGGGTATGTTTGGTATTTGCAGTGTGAACATAGATATTTTTTATCCTAAAAAGGAAATGATGCAATAATAAGTAAACTTCCTAAAGTAGTAAGTGATGCGATAAAAAAAGAACGGAGGAAGTATAAAACCTAATAGCTTCTAAATTTCTATTAATAAATTATTTTTTATAAAATTCAAATCAATAACCTTTATGCATTTGGTATAAATTAAAATTCAAGTTATTTTGTGACAAATATTTTTTTTGGATAAATTGTTAAATTAACAATCATTCTTTATTCCCCTCAAAAAAAAAAAAAAAAAAACATTCTTTATAATTTTTGTTGTAAAGTTTAATTATAATCGTGCATGGCACGAGACTTAACCTAGTGCACGAAAAAGTAAAACCTTCTCAAAAAAAATAACAATTTAAATTTAATATTGGAGGGAATAAAATTGAAAACTACATATATAGATTATATATACTCCACAATCCCGTTATCCATAGTTTTATTAACATTTTTTATATACACCAGGTGCATAGAGTTAGCTACACTTACCACTTTAGGGTGGTTTTTGTTCATTTGATATTAAAGAGCAAAGATGTTCAATGAGCGGAAATAACGAAGTATAGAACTCAAAACAATATTTATCCTCGAAGTCTGACCAGAGACAAAAATAAAGGGAAATCAAAATGTACTCCTTTCTACTTTGAACGTATTTATTCTCGTTTTTTTTATTATTTTTTTTAACCGATGATTTCATAAATAAGAACAAAGACTATTATGTACTTCGTATAACCTTGTTAAATTTGTTTTAATACTACTATATAATATCACCGTTAACAGTTATTTGCAACATTTATTAAAAAAGGGGTGCTACCTATTATTTGCAACAAACTTATTTCTTTCTTATTTTAGTAACTTTTTTCTGTCAAAATGACTAAAATACCCTCATTTAAAAACTATTAGCACATAATATCACACATAATTACACAACATTATAACCTTAATCTAAATTAATTATCTTTCTCTCTCCTCCTCCATCTCTCATTTCAGCTTTCTCTCTCCTCCTTCATCTCACAATTCATCTTCTTCATCTTTCATCTCTCTTTAAACTCTAATCCATGTCACTAGTGGGTTTCAGATCTGGTTATTTGTGAGTGGTTTGCTTGATTCTTGGTCGGATTTGGTGGCTTGTGGGTGGATTTGCAGGTTTGTGGGGGTGGTTCGTGGGTAGGTTTGTTTATCGGGTTGGTCGAGGGTATTGGTGGTGTGTGGGATTTGGAGGTTTGTCGGTGCTGTTAGTGGTTCGTGGGGGTGGTTTTGGTGGCAGTAGAAGGGTTTCGGTGGTTCATCGGTGATTTTGGTGGTTCGTGGGGGTGGTTTTGGTGGTTAATCTAATCGGCGTTTAGTGGTTCGTCGAAGGGTCAAGGTGATTAGTCGGTGGTTCTGTTGGGTTCGTGGGTGGGTTTGGGTGGTGAAACGTGGTGGTTTTGAGTTTTGTGTTTTGGAGGGTTTAGTGGTTCTGGTGGTCGGTGGTATTGGTGGTGGTTAAATCGGGGTTTGGAAGGGTCAAGGTGATTAGTCGGTAGTTTTGTTGGGTTCGTAGGTGGGTTACGGTGGTGAAACGTGGTGGTTTTGAGTTTGGGTTTCGGTGGGTTTGGTGGTTCTGGTGGTCGGTGGTATTGGTGGTGGTTCTGGGTTTCGGTAATTTGGGTTTTTGTTTAGTGAAACGCTAAACATCGCCCGCAAATTACCACATAAAGCCCACAAATATGTTATGATTTGACCATTATGCCCTTTTGCTAAAATTGAGATAATCTCGGTGTAAAAAATGTGGAGCCGTATTGGCTCGTCGGGGGAGACCGGATGGCAGGCCGGAGATGCGGGGGACGCCGGAGGTACGTCGTCGTCGACGGAAAACGAGGTAAGTGACCGCTAAAATTCACGGTTTACCGTCGTAGTGGCTACGGCGCCTAGGGTGGACGCCCAAACCGTAGCCTGGACGTCCAAGCCGGACGCCAGAACCACCAGAGTGGCGTCCAGGCTAGACGCCCAGACCACCTGAGTGGCGTCCAGCCCAGACGCCCAGACCACCAGACTGGCGTCCTGGGCAGACGCCACTCCACTGGGTGAGGCGGCCCTGCCAGGCGCCAGTCCAGTGGGTGTGGCAGCCCTGGCAGACGCCACCTTTAATAATTAAATTTTATTTTTTCCTTTTTGATTTTGTTGTTGTTTTTTATTTAATTTTTTTTGTGAAAATAAAAAATCGAAAATGATTTTTTAAAAAAATTCGAAATGGGTTTTTTGTAAATTAAATTTGAAAATTCGAAATAGGTTTTTTTAAAATTAAATTTGAAAATTCGAAATGGTATATTTTTAAATTTAGTTTGAAAATTCGAATTGGGTTTTTATAAAAATTAAGTTTGATTATATATAATTATGTTTTTTTTGTGTTAATTATGTGGAAATATAGAAATTAAATGTATTATCCGTTAAATGTATTTATTGTAATATATAATTGATGCAGGAATATGGTGGAGACGGAAATGATTACAGTGAGATATTTGGACATGATGGTCCATTTGAAGAAGCTCAACAGGCGATTGATTGGGCAAAACAGGTTGCAATTGCAGCTGGATTTTGCTTGGTAGTAGCAACTCATAAATCTCAACGGGATGGTAGAATGGATCGCATTTTGAGATGTGACCGTTATCGCAAAAGAGAAGAAAGAGATTTTCGTACAGCCACTCGGTTTGACACAAAGCGGAAAGGTTGTGGGTGTGAGTTCAGAGTAAAGGTTCGACAACTACGGAGTCGTGACGGTTGGGAAGTGATAGGTTACTCTAAATGGGGGTATCACAACCATGAGATGATAGTATATGAAGAGGGTCATCGACAACTGAGCGGCTTAAGTCCTGCTGCGAAACTAGTTGTGAAAGAAATGAGTGATGCTCAAGTGAAGCCTGCATTTTAGTTTTTCTTGTTTACATTCTTTATTTACATTCCAAAATAATGTTCTATAAATAAAATACAATAACCATCAGTAATCCCTCCTCGACGACGACTCCCACTGCGCAAGGGTCTGTTCCAGACTATCAACAACAGCTCTCCCTGTTGCACTCATGCTGTCCTTCTCAAGAGAGAGTTTCTGAACGTCTTGCATTATCTTTCCCATCCACTGCATACAACAAAAAACAGAAGATGAAATACAATAACAACAAATAAAACTTAATTAAAAGACAACGATAAATATAATAAGAGACATACCGCTTCCGTGGCAGTAGGCGGTGGCACATAATCATCATCGCTGTGGTCGAGATCAGCGATCAACCTCGGGTGGGAATACCGGTTGAACCATTCCATGTAGTAATGGTCACACATGGGAGTAACCCCAGAGGGCGGCCGCTGCAACTCCGCTGTCCATAATCGAGCCACCATCGGAAACTGGTCCCACGTCCCGGTCATGATATCCGGCCATTCCACGACGTACTCCCTCGACGATGCAGGTCGGACCGCCTTCATCGGGCACGCCGGGGGAGGAGGGACAACTTGGACAAATCCAAGTTGGCGAAGACAACGCTGGGGCATGTACGCTTCGACGATGTCACGATACTGAATGAGTCCCGTGTACAGGGTCCTGGGTACCCTAACACTAGGGTTCGGGCCGAAAGGCATCCAGTTCACCTGTACAATTACAACATATAAAATATAATAACATGAATATAATATGTGCAAATAATAAAATGTAGACTCTATAAATAAACGTTACCTCTAAGGGGGACAGCCTGTCCAGCAATAACCGTATCGATCGGAGGCGGTCAACGGACTTCTTCTCCGAGCGGGGACTCCACGCACAAGCACGCGGCATCCCCTCATCAATAGGAACTGGGTCACGATGTGGTCGCAATGCAGGAAAATACTCGTATATCCAAGTCTGCAATAGAGTCAGACACCCAGTGATACCTGCCGCGTCAGCCCGACTCGCAAATCCTAGTTGGCGATACAAATACGCCAACGTAGCCGATCCCCAGGAAAACTGGCCTACACTGTCGGGGTCACACGCCTCTACGATGTCGCGTGGCCTGAGCTTGTTTCCGCCGCTCTTATCCGGAAACAAGGTACATCCGAGGAGTAGAAAAACATAAGCACTCAGCTGTGCGTCGGGCGTCCTACGTGCACTCGGGTACAAACACCGCTGCAACACAGATGCGATCTTCACACCTCCGTGTTCCCAAACACCTAGCGCCTCGGTGTACAGTGCAGCCCTGTCCACCGC